GCAGTGTTATTAAACTTTAATTAGCACCTGTTGCCCACAGGCTGGCTTTCTAGATTAGCAAGAATTAAAGAGGTACTCAAGACATTTACTACCCAGCTGAGACTTTCTCCTTAGTGTAATAAGGATTAAGATAAACCTGGACAAAGAATAAAGAAATACATGGCTAAACTATCAGTCAGTACCTGCTGAGTGCAGAGCACCACACAGAGCCCAAAGTGATACAGAATGAAACTTAATCCTGTATCACCTGAAGGGTCACTTCCTCCAGGAAGCCCATCCTGATGTGCCCCCTTAACAAGCTGTACTTCTCCTGCTGTAACGTTTGTCTTATTTTATTGTCCTGGTGTACTGGCTTCCACTCCTGGGTGGAAGTTCCGTAAGAACAACCACCAGATCTACATTACTTTACTATCCAGGTTTCCCCCACAAAGCCTGGAGCACAGGTGCTGAATGAACAGATGAATGAATAATGGGTTGAATTTCTCAACTCTGCTCCCTCTGGGCCCCTTCCAGCAATGCCTTGCCCTTCTCCTCCTCCCTGTCCAAACCCCACACTGCCATCCTTCAAGGCCCTACTGAGGGTCCAGACTCCCCAGGAGGCCTTTTTCAACCAACCAAGCCCACCCTGAGCTCTCCTGCTCTTGATACTCCACCCCTGGCAATGCTGTGACCAGGAGACACTCAGTTCTGTGGTCTGCTGTGTTCCCAACACGTCCACAGAGCGAGCAGGATGGGCCACCACACAGGTGCTCACGAACTCCCGCGGCGGGGTTTGACATGGCTCCTCCTGCAAGGATGCAGTGGCATGAGTCCCCTGCGGCTGCTGTGACAGACTTCCGGGTGCCCTGTGGCAACACAGACTTACCATCCTACACTTCTGAAGGTCAGAGGTCAGTGTCAAGGTGTCAGCACAGCCGAGTTCCTCTGGGGGGGGCACTAGAAGAGAAGGCATTTCACTGCCTTTGGTCGCCTCCCATCTTCAAAGCCAGCAGTGGCTGGTTGAGTCTTTCTGAGACTCTCCCTCACGCCTCCTGCTTTCACCCTCTTGACTACATCAGGCCCAGCTGGATGGTTGAGAACACTCCCCGACCTCAAGATCTTTAACTTCATCACATCTGCACGGTTCCTTTTGCCATGTAAGGCAACAGAGTCACAGGTTCCAGGCATTAGGCCATGGCCATCCTTGAGGAGGAACGTCGTTCTGGCTAGCACAATAGCTGTCCCAGGTAGTCAGAGAAAACTGGCTGGTGGTATATTAATATTCGCTGGCATTTACCGAGCACTTACTGTGGGCCAATAACTTCTGGGCACACTCCCTGCCACTCTGGGAGGGAGGCATTGTTGCCATCTTCCCTTTACAGTGGGGATTAAGAGGCTAAATAACTTGGCAAGTGGCAGAGCTGGGATTTGAACCCAAGCAGCTTGGCCCCAGGGTACCCCTCCCAACCTCCAGGCTACCCTGCCTGTGTGGCACCATTATCACACTCACGACACCAGCTGACAGACAGCCCAGGAGATGCCAGGCAAGGTCTGAAGCCCAACAGAGGGAGGGAGGATTTTCCCCAGATTTTCTAAGTGAGACCCCTGTCTAGGTGACATATTATTTGCCAGATCTCTCCCATATCAGCCCTTTCTCACCCACACCCTGTAAAAGGCACCTAAGCCTATCCAGGGAAGCTGCAGGGAGCTTCCAATGGTTCTCTTTAGGTTCTCTTTAGCCAGGCATGAAAGTCTAGAAGAGTTTCTGGATGCCAAGTACCACCCAGATGCACCGCTGTCCTCTCCCAGCATCCACACACCAAAGTAACGTGAGCCCCATCGGAGGCAATCTTACACAGCAAGCCAAAGAAAGTAAACCGCACTTCCCCAGCTCGCCATCACAAAGGAGCCTGCATAGCTGAGCCAGAGGGGAACACGCGAGCCTTCCGCAGGCACTGGATGAGGAGGGGTGCCCAATGTTTATTGAGCACTCACTAGGGTTAAGAATAGCTCAAAGAGTTTTATACTTATTAACTCATTTAATATGCACAACAACCCTGTAGGGTACTGTTATTATCCCCATTTCACCGGAAAGGAAACTGAGACACAGAAAGGTCATGTAACTTTCTGAGGTCACACAGCCAGGGTGAAGAGTCAGGATTTGATCCATTCTCCATAAGCAGGAGAACCTAGGTTGAGGCTGGTCAAGGCTGGTTGAACAGCATCAGCCTGGCCTACCGTACTTGTGTCAACCAAGCCTCGCCTTGTGCCTTCCCTGCACAACCTGCTTTTTTGCACCTGCTAGGCTAGGTTCCTGGTTTCTGTGTCAACCAGATGTTTTGGGAGCATCTTTATCTATTTCATTCTTACACCAAACTTCATTATTAACCCCATTTTAAAGAAGAAGAAGAAACTGAGGCACAGAGAGGCTGCATAGCTTGCCAGAGACTCTCACAACCAGAAAGTAACAGATTTGGGATTTGAACTGAGACATTCAGTTGCTACCCCTTCTCACAGCTGCCTCAGCCTGAGCAAGCCCAGCCTGAAGCCCTCCTCCAGAAGTCCAAAATCCAGCCAGGGATGCAGCATGGGTTTGCCAGCTCTCCAGATGTGGGTGCTCACACTCCCTGGACCCGAGCTGATTCACCAGCAACTTTGGAGCTTCCTGCCTTTGAGTGTCCACGTTAGTCACACTGTCTGAGGGCCAGGGGAGTATCTGAGTGGGAGCGGAAACAACACTGTGCTGTTAATCAGGTCAGTCATCTGATTAATCGGCTCAGGCCCAGACCTGCTGGAGTGTGGTTGGTGCCAGAAGTGATGGTTCTCAGAAAAACCAGCTTTTCGTTGCTTGAAGCTCTCTGGGAGGTGCTTGACTCTGCCATGGTATTTCTCAAAAGGAAAGTTGTATCACAGTGAGTAGCTAGAAGCTCCCTGTGGTGGTGCTGGGAAACAGAGGGCAGGAGAATCTGCAAGAGGAGCGCTGGGTCTGAGCAGGGGCAGCGGTGAGCTGGCGCTGGAGCCCAGTGGGGAAACAGGGAATCATCCTGTTGTTTGGGGGTTAAAGAGACATTTCCTCTGAGGCCGGCCAGCTGTGCTAATTGGAAGGATGACCTGCAAAGACAGTAGTTTTTTAAAGAAGATAATCTCTGGTGATTCTAAAATGTGTGCATATGCTTCCACGAGTGTGAGTTTGCAGTGAAGGTGCATCTGATACACCCACTTCTGTGTCCTCTGGGGGCCTGGCAGGAAGCAGAGGCACCGTCAAGCAGGGGCACTAAGGAGAGGTTAGTACAGGGACGCTCTTCAAGGGTGTGGATGGGGCGAAGGGAAATGATGCTGGGTGGTGCACCACCATGACACTAGCATCTCGGGGGAGCTGCTACTGTCCCCAGGCCTGGAGGAAGGAGGGGGAGAGCAGTGCAGGCTCAGGACTCGCACGGGAGCTGGCGGCTGCAGCAAAGGGAGGCACCAACCTGAAGCACCCCAGCAGAGGTCAAGTACTCCCTCTTTCCCACTCTCATGCCAGCCTCTGACTCCCATTAGCGCTTCCTGTTGGCCAAACTCAGCAGAAGCCCATGGTTGTGGTCCAAAGAGTGGGATGGAGAAGGGTGGGAAGTGGATCTGGACAGACCAATAAAATCAGCATGCTTTTGGCCTGCTGCACCAATCTCTTTCACCCATTCCATCAGCTGCCATTTCTGAGCAGCCATAGTGTGCCTCCCTGGGCTTACCACCAGGAAAAGGCAAATGCCGAGACTGAAACCCCATGAGAGGCTGGAAAAGAGAAATGGACATAATTGCCCCTTGTGCCAGGTATGGAGAAATTTTGAGCCCAGCCCAATGTGGGAGATGATTTCTGTGGGCAAGAAAAATGGTTATTAGTGTAGCATCTCAAATCAGCATTCCATGAGCATGGGCCATAATTTACCATTCTCTAGGACCAGGAAGGTTCTGGAAAACAATGCATGCTTCATTTTAACTTGGTGAGCTGTTTGTAGTCTATAAGGCCATTGCCAGGTATTGTTTACAAACCAACAAATTCAACTGTTCCTGCCAAGGACTGGCCATCTTAACACCAAAAAACACAGCACAGTCTAGCCAAAAGGCAACTTTGCAGGAAGTGCGTGCATCCTTTTGCTTCTCCAAATCTAGCATTTTCCCTGGGAAAGCATGGCCAGAGATGTCAACACTGTATTCCACAAGCCAGTTCTAATGATTTTTAAATAACTGGTGTGCCATGCTGTTCCATTCTAAACAATGAGGCAAGAATCAAAATGGTGTTTGTTTTAACTGGAGAGTATTTAGACTATGAAGAGTTCTAGACGTGCTTGGACATCTGTAAACAAAGACTGTGTGCTAGAAAATGAGAGGCAGAGAGGAAGGGCCACCAAGTACTGCCATATTGCCCCAACTCCAGGTGCTACCAGATAGGTTACAGTGTGTACAGTCAACAATATTGAACAGTGTGCAGTGTAGCAGCCCTGGCAGGATTCATTTATAATAAACTTACTACATGGCATGCACCATGGATCTGGAAACTAATGGGCATTAGGACACCCCACTTCTTGCCTGGAGGGATAGGATGCAGAACATAATCACTGCAAGAAGCACCCTCCCAGTCAGGACTCCACTCAAGTCCTGGCTCAGACACTCAAAACTGAGTGACCTTAGCAATTCACTGAACCTCAGTTTCCTGGATCTGTGAAATGGAGAGAATAAAACTAGTTGTTAGGATGAAAAGAGATCACTCATAAGTGCTAAAGACACAGTGAGAACTCAAAAGATAAGAGCTGTTTACAAGGGCATTTGGAGTGGGCAGTAATAATAATGGCTAACATGTGTAGAACCCAAATATCTGCTGGGTGTTGAGCTAAGGGCTTTACCTGATACAATCATGCAGTCATCTCAGCCCCCTTCTGAAGCAGTGTGTCTGCATTTCACACACGAGGAACTGGGCACAGAGAGGTGAAAAGACAAGGGACTTGTCAAGGTCACCTTACTAGTAAGAAGCAGACCTGGGATACAAACTCAAGACCCTTTGGCTTTCAAAGCCAAACTCTTAACTACTTCCAGTTTGGCAATTTTTAAAAACCATATGTGCATTTTTATGGCATGAATATTCATCCATAAAACTCCATTTGTAAAGATTTTGCAAGAAGCAGGAATTTCAAACTGAGGACCAGTACAAGAGGCTGATGTAGCCTCTGAGAAGAGCTTGCTGGGAGGTTGTTGGGCATTTGCCCAGTAGGAAAAGCAAAGTCCCTGCTCACACTCCTTCTGCCTCCCGCTGCCTCCCCTGCAGGGTTAACATCTGTCCTCTTGCCCACTGTCCATTTCCTTCCAGAGACTCACAAGGGCCAGAGTGCGGAGCTTTGGGCCTCCCAGAGGGGTCCGCAGAGGGTGACACTGAGCTCTCTCTTTACCTCTCCTGCCTGCTCTCCAGTTGCCCTCTGCCCCTAAACCGTGCCCCCAACCAACTGTCCTGACACCAAAGTTTCTTCAGATTCCTGCAGTGACCATCTCAGACACTCGTTTCACAAGCAGGAATGGGGTGCTCTGCTCTGAGCCAGGCACTGGGTGCAGAATGAGGGCCCTGCAGAGGGTCGGCTGTGTGCCAGTGACCCTGGCAGATGGTGCAAATGCTGGGATGGGTGCTCAGCACAGATTGCCTGGGGCACCCAAGAAGACTGGATAGGGGAGGTGACTTTCACCTCTTAAAACTGGGGCAGGAGTTCAGGAGATGGCGGTCAGGTGTTCTTTTGAGTGGGCAGGGACACAGGTGGGAGTAAGGGTGTACAGATGTGAAAGGGAGAAGGTACTGAGGGAACAGCTAAGGGTGGCTTGGGATTGGATGCAGGTGGTGGTGAGGGCTCTGGACTCACCTGCCTGGATTTGAGTCTCAGTGCCTCTACTTAATACCTGTGTGACCTTGACCTCTCCACGCCTCATTCCCCCATGTGTAAAATGGGGATAGTAATAATATCTACCTCTGTGCTGTCCCTGGTAACCCCTGCCTCAAGCACACTCAGGCCTGGGGACCCCCCAAAGCAGGGACCCAGTAGGCAGCAAACCTAAGTGCAGAGGGGGGTGGAGAGAGGCCCAGAGCGCAAGGCGGCACCACATTTACTGAGTGGCTGCTGATGTCCTGCGCTGGGGATTACAGACGTGGAGAGTACAGAAAGATCGCTTCATGGGCTCTTCTCTCGGCTTCCCACCTGGGGGTTGAGGATGTGGCTGGAGACGGACCCTTGTCCTTTCGCAGCCAGGTCCAGTCGGAGCCCATGCTGGCAACTCTAGAATCTGTCCCGGGGACAGCTGGTAGTGGGGGCAGGGAGGGTTTACCTCCGGGACAAGTCTGCACGACTGCAGCTCTTCCTGGCAGGCGCCTGGCCTGGGGCCTGTGGTCGGAGTAAAAGACAGGGTGCGGATGGGCTGGGCTGGGTGTGCCCGGCGGGGGCGGGGATTGGGGGGGGGGGCGTTGGATGGGGGAATCAGTCGTGTTCCGAAGAGGAGGAGGGCCTGGGCGAGAAACGGATCCGCCGGTGTCCCCAAGCCACCCCTACCAGCAGCCGGAGGACGTAGTGCCTACCCCGTTTGCTGCATGCCAGCTGTAGGAGGGTGCAGGCGACGCGCGGGGTGGCGGCAGCCAGCGCTGAGGCTCCTCGCTGCACAGGTACGTGTCTCCAGCCCCGGAGCAGGCCTCTTCCTCTCGCCGAGGTCGTGGGGACCTGGGCGCGCCAGGCCCGGGCCACTGCATGCGGGCAGCACCCGGGTCCCGGGCCCTGGCAGCAGCTCTGTGCTTTCTCCGGCGCGGCCCCGCGAGCGCGCGACAGGGCTGCGGGCACGTGGCCCCCACGTGTGCGCGCCAGGGTCGGGCGAGTGCGGGGGCCGCGGCCGGGCACCTGCAGATGCGCGCTGAGTGGGCACCGCGGGTGCCCGGCGGAGGTGGGCGAACGCGGCAGCGGGGAGGCCCCGCGGCGTCTGCCCCGAGCGCGGCGCGTCCTGCTCGCCCGCCCGGGTGCGGTGTCTCCGCCTGCGGTTGCCGCCTGGTTGAGCACCACCCCCTCGGCTGGCTTCGTGGCCACCTAGTAATTACTCTTCGCCACCAAAAAAATAAATAAAATTTAAAAATAAGACAACTAACCCTTCATTTCCCAAAGATGCTGCGCAAGCGACCCACAGGTTCTTTGAGGGCCAGGCTTTCCTTTCCTTCTTCCGAACCTGTGCGGTCCCCCGCACGCGAAGGGGAGCTCGTCGGACGCAGGGCAGGCTTACCGAGACCCGAAGTAGCCCCCGCGCCGCCGAGGGAGGGCAAAGCGGGCCTGCGACGCTGGTCCACGAAGCTGCTGGGGGTTCGCTGGTTGGCTGGGGCCCTTGTCCCACCATGAGGTGGACCCAGGTGATTCCCAAACTGGGAAACGGGGACGCGGTGGCACAACGCAAAGGTAGGCTCCTTGGGGTTTAGCAGTGGGTAGAAGAGAGAACAGAGACCCGACCACGAGGCCAGTGGCTTTGGGCCACTTGGCTGTGGCCGGACCTTTGTAAAACGGAGACAAATCTCAGCCATGACTCCCTCCCGGAGGGGTTGTGAGAACCGTGGATGCTTTGGACTATAGAGACTGGAGAATCTGCAGTTGAGCGCCCAGTTCCAGAACCAGACAGCCTGGATCCAAATCTTGGCTCTTCGGCTCATGAGAGCTAATTACCTGGGGCAAATCACCTACCCCCTTTTTAAGCCTCAGTGTCACCTTCTGTGAAAGGGGCATGGCAGGAGAGCCTGCTTCCAAGGAAGATCATGCAGTTAAAGATCTCGCCTTGAAAGCTGTGCAGTTTCCCCCGAGTCTTAGTTCTGGGTTACTATGATGTCGCACCCTTCTGGGTACAGCTCACACTGTAGGGAGAGAAGACTCATCTAACAGGAAGCCAAGAGTGCAAAACAGGTTTTATCCTTCCTAGCTGGCTGGTCCCAAATGAGAAACCTTACCTCTCTGTGCCATAGTATCTCATGGGAAAAGTGGAGATGAAAGTAAAAATATTTTTATACCCATCTCATAAAGTTGTTATAAAAATCAAAATCAAATAACCATATGAGTGTATCTAGCACATGATAAACCCTTAAATAATGTTGAAGAAAAATCATTCTTATGTTCCCATTATCTATGGCTGCATAATAAACCACTCCAAAAGTAGTGGCTTAAAATAGCAGTACTCCATTTTGCCCATGAATCTGCAATTTGGGCAGGGTTTGGGTGGAGATGGTTTGTCTCTGCTCCTTGCAACATTAGCTCAGATGGCCCAGCTGGGACAGGGGCATCTTCTTCCAAGATCACACCCTTGCGTGGCCAGTAGGTGGTCCGGTTGGTTCCTTTCAATGCGGGCCTTTCCATGGGGTTCTGTGGGCTTACTCACAGCATGGCACCTAGGTTTCAGGAGCAACTATTCCAAAAGACAGGAAGTGGGAACCCCCTGTCTCTCCAGACCCTGACTCAGAAACTGGCACAGTATGGCTTCTGCTTTATTCTATGGGTCAAGTAGTCACCAAGATTCAAGGGGTGGGGGCTCAGACCCCATCTTTCAATGAGAAGAGTATCAATTTACAACTACCTTGAATCTACCACGATTTGAAAGTCTGCCCTTCTGCTTTATTTCCCCTCCTGGGTGCAATGGTAACAAATCAATTCATCTTTGCAAAGGATATAGGGTTTCTCCTAGACCAGCAGAGAGACAGGTATGACTAGGGCCTGTCACAGAGCCTGTTTGGGTCAGTTTCTCTGGGTGGATTCAGGGCTGAGGGAGCAGCCATATACAGGGTAGCTTCTCTAGCATGAGATTCCCTGCCATCTCTGAGGCTTCAGTCACCAGCTCGCCAACTCTGTACCTTTAAAAGAAGACGCAGAAGCCAGAGAGAGAGAGTAATTCGGATTCAGAAAACTAGATTTTAGCAGGTGGCCCAGGCTGAGTGTAATGAGCAGCTAGGTAGCTCTCAAGTTTGTTTTTCTAGAGTGTTGCTGCCTGGGTGCTGGGAGTGACTGTTGTAATACATCATTAGTTATTAATTGAAGGACTGGAGCACTCGGGGTGGGGAGGCAGGAGGCTGGTGGGGCCGCAGGCTCTGGGTAGGGGGGTTGCCATGGCAACCTTCAGGCCTACAGTTTGTGCTTGGCTCAGAGCCGGAAGGATGCCCCAGGCAGCTCAGGCCGACCACAGACTCTCCAGAGAGAGACCCAGGTAGGCTTCTGCTGTAACGCATTTTCACCACACATTGCCCCCACCCCTGTCCTCTAACTTTTGCCTCAGCAATAAAAATACCTGGGCCTCACCTTTCAGAAATCTCAAGGTGGCCAAGGAAGGATGAAAAGACCCCATGGAAGGGTACAGTCAATGTTGGGGGTGGGGTTGAGAGGACTATTTGTCCATCCTATGGATGCCAGGGAGGGCTGTGTAGAGGAGGCGGCATTTGAGGTGGGCCGTAAAGCAGTGGTTCTTGAACTTGGGTGTGTGTCAGAAAAACCCAAGGGAACTGCTCAAAATGCAGCTTCTTGCACCTCATCCCTAAGTGATTCTGATTCAGTGAGTCCAGAGCAGGACCTAGGAATCTGCATTAAACGGGCACCCAGGCGATACTGATGCAGGGGTCCTGAAGCTCCCCTGAGAAGCATAGCCTGAGGAATGGCATGGGGAGGGGGTGTTGGCCTTCAAGCTTAAGGAGAAGAGTGTGGAACTGAAGTGGGGAGGAACAGAGGCTGGGAAGGGGGTGGACCGCATGTCGGGCCGCGCAGCAGAGACTCAGAGGACCTCCTCCTCCCTCATACTTCAGCTATCTTCTGTCCCCCCTCCACTCCCAGCGCACCTCTCAAAGCCCATCCCGACCCAGAGGTCTGTCACCCGTCACCACACATCGCTGGTGGCTCTATTGGTTGGCCCGTACAACTTTGGTTTCACTGCTGTCCCTTTTCTCTCCTTGTTAGGCTCAGTCGTGGGTTTGGGGTGGCAGGTAATGTCAAGCTATTTAGTTATTTCCTTCCTTTCTTCTCCCCCAGCTTCCAGCTATCCTTGTCTCTTGCCCTTTCAGTTATCAAGAATTTAAGCGTCAAACACTTGGGCAGCATTGTGCCAATCCCTGTGGGGCTACCAAAGAGAGAAAGGTGGCCCTGGGAGCTTGTTGGCAGCTCAGGCCTTACCCCAGACCTACTAACCAGAATCTGCACCTAAACAAGACCCCCCGGAGAGTCATATACGCACTGACATTTGAGAAGTGCTGCTCTACAGGGTTTTAAATAAATGCAACATAATCACATGGTAGGCAGAATGATGGCTCCCCAAATGGAGTCCAGTTCCTAGTCCCTGGACCCTGTGAATATGTTACCTGTGGCAAAGGAAAATTAAGGTAGTGGGTGTAATTAACGTGACTAATCAGCTGACCTTCAAATAAGGAGATTGTCCTTGATTCTCCAGGTGGTGCTGTGTAATTACGGAGGTCCTTAAATGTGGAGGAGGGACCAGGAGACTCAGAGTCAGAGAGGGAGATGTGACACTACAAGCCAAGGTCGGAGTGACAAGAGACGCAATGTGGGGCCGCCTCAGTCCTCCACTGCTGGCTTTGATGATGAAAGGGGCCAAAGCCAAAGGATGCCAGAAGCCTCTAGAAACTGGACAAGGGAATGGATTTTTCCCAAGACCCACCAGAAAGAATACAGTCCTGCCAATACTGCTTTTAGCCCAGCAAGGCCCACTGCAGACTTCTGAGCAGTAGACTAATGTAAGGAATGTGTGGTCTCAGGCCACTGCATCTGGCTAATTTGTTCAGCAGCAACAGGAGACTCATACAGTGGCCCAGAGCCTCGTCTCTGGAGTCAAACAGTCCTGCTGTTTCCCAGCTGTGTCACCCCAGGCAAGTTGCTGGCACTCTCTGAGGCTCAGCTGCCTTACCTGTAAGAGAAGGACAGCCCTGCCTCAGAGGGTTGATGCAAAGGTTAAAACAGGAAACCTTTGAAAGGTGCTCAGCACAGTATCTGGTAAAAAATACATGCTCCCAAAATGACAGTGACTTCACTCCTTCATCTGAAGTTGCTCCTGCCCCTCCTCTGACCCCACCAGGGCTGTGGTGCCAGACACTTTGGAAGGTTCTCTGCTGGTCCTCGAAGCCATCCCTAATTCACACCTGGCCACGTTTGAACTCGCCACAGTGCAGCACATTGCCTTGGCTCCTATGGTCTAAGTGTGTGGTCAAGTGTAAGGCCTGGGAAGGCCAAGGCCAGCCTTCAGCACACAAGTCAGTGAACGTCCCTGCCACCAAACAGCACATGGCTCAAGGTAGGCACCCCTTGCACTTGTCAGAGCCGTCGGCGAGCCTCTGAGGCCTTTACCCCGAGTAGCCCCAGTTCAGTAGAGTAGCCATGGGGAAGAAGGTTGGGCACCATAATAAACATCTTACCAAGTTGGCCTGCCCCTCTTTCACCCTTTCTAGAGTAAATCAGATGGGGAGATAGGACCTCCTGGCCTGAGGCCATGGTGCTCTTGCTACCACCATTACCATCCTCATTATTAACTGCATCCTCACTAAATCAAGGACTATTAGGTGCCAGGCCTTTGCTGGACCTCATCTCTCTTGTTGCGGAAGGCCACCGGTCAGCAAGGTACGCAGTTTGTCAGGGTCACAGCCAGACAGCGCAAGCACAGGGACTTAGCCTCCAGGTCTGGCCCAGGGCCTCTGCTCTCAACCTCCACCCTGTGACCATGGGATTGCTGTCACGTGCTGGTGGCCTTGCATGGTGCCACCAGCTCAGGGAGGACTCCAGAGCCCTCCCTATGGTGTCTCCCAGGCTGCTGGACATTCTGGGGGCAGGTGGGTACCCAAAGGTCTGTGGCTGGGGTTCCTGTTGCCCTCCAGGTAGCCTCCAGAGAAGCTCAGAAAAGCCCAGCTGCCCTGTAGAGCCTGGTTTCCTGGAGCAGATGTCGACGCCAGGGGCAAATTGGGATGCCCAGGGCTCAAGGCAGCCTCCTGGGGCTGCCGCCCCCGTGGGGGTCTACAGTGCTCCTGACTGCTGACACTGGGGGCTGAGAGAGACAGAATGAGAAATGAACTCAGGCGGCAGGCCCGGCCCCCGCTACGGCCCCACGTGGGGTCGCACTGCCTCTTCTCGCCAGTCACTAAATGCCCCCTTCTGTCAGTGGCAGCTCCAAGATTCTGCCACTTTGGAATTAAGGACAGAAGTCTGAGTGGGGGGAGGCAGGCCAGGGGGCTTCTTTTGAGGTGGCGTTTTTATTATTAACTCATTACTTTTACTTAATTATAGGTTTGCTTGGTGAGGTTTGGAGGAGTCAAGGTTATGGGGTCTCTAGGACCCCTCAGGCCACTGCTCGATGCTTGTATCATCATGGTTTCCTATTTTAGGTTAAAGACAAAAATTCAAGCACCAAAGTAGAGCACAGCATGAGCTCTTTTTTCTCCCCATGAGTGTGCATCTCACAGAGGCCATGGGCTTAGCTGATTGGAGTGAAACTGAAGTAAAGCATCATCCCTCCATCCATAGTCCCAAAGGCCCATTGGGAGGACATGGGGGTCCCTGGCCCTGGAGAGAGAAGGGCTCCCCACTCCAGGGGAGGCATCATACATACTGCTGGAGGGGCTGGGCAGCTTAGGAGTCTTGTGGGAAGGAGGGGACACAGTGCCATCAGCCGTCCTTGCAGGTGCAGGTAGTGATGGTACAGATGGTGTGTGTGTGTGTGTGTGTGCACTGTTCAGCTGGGCCAATCTGGAGAGAGCCAGAGGTGCCGTCTTTGGCCGGTGTGCCCTGGGAGTAGCCAGGCATTCACTGTGAAGTTGATCCTGCAGTCCTAACCTGGCCTTCCATTCATATGACATCACATGACATGAATGCCAACCACACTTCTACAACTCAAAGAAGGCATTGACATCTAAACGTGTGATACGGCACTATAACCAGTCTTAGCCTCTTGGAGCAACTGAATGAGCATTTGCTTGGAGGACCCAGGCCCCACAGAGGGGGATTCTTCTTGGGACCCCTACAATACAGTCCCCTGACAGGACTATAGCAACTTGTCGCCTGGAGCAGATGAGTCCTGTGAATCACCTAACACAATGGGGAGAACGCTGGTCCTCGGCAATCCGCACATATGGTGGACACTGGCTTCCTGGCTCCAGCAGGGCATCCAGTGAGCACCTTCCAGGGAGGCTATTCAGAGGGAGGAGGTCATGGCAAAACAGCCCCACGCCTGAAATCATCAGCTGGTTTCAAGAATCAAGGCTATGGTTTAACTGCAAGGCACTGGGCTACAGCCTTTGACCTCTGGCCCCGACTTACCCCATCTGTAAAATGAGGAGGCCTGGCTAGGTAACCTCCAGGGGTCCTTGCAGCTCTGCTCGGGGCCATGCTGACTGAAGACACCGCTGCTTGCCTCCCCGGGGCCCAGCATGGTGCCCTGGTGCTCTCATTCTTGATCTGCAGGCAGGACCCACCCCCTCCTCTACCACATCAGCCCTTCTCCACCAGGCTGCCCTTTGGAATTGGCCAGAGGGCTTTTAAAAACATTGATGCTGTCACCTCACCTCCAGAAAGTATGATTCAATTTGTCTGGGGTGGGCTCTGAGCATTGGTATCAATCTTTATAAGCTCCCTAGGTATTTTCTAAGGTATGTTGTGACCCACTGACCCAGATGTTAGCTGCTAGCAGCTAAAGGGTGACAGCTTGAGGGTGGGAGTGGAAACAGCTTCCCTCTCTCCTTGCCTAATCTTGCCGATATTTCCAGTATATTCTGGCTACCTGAGCATTGGTCTGAGTAGCTCAAGAGAAGACTACTGGGCAGGGGCTCTACATCCTGTATCTCCTCGCCTGGTATCCTGCAGGTGCTCAAAGGTGGCTTGATGGGTAGAATTACAGCACCTGCTACTCCTGCATGCCCCCACCCCTCCCCCCCACGAGTCCCCAAAGTCCCCTGCCCTTCATTCAGGCTTTAACATTCCCACCAAGGCTGCTCCCAGCCTCTGGAGTAAAGCAGACGGAGGATGCGTGGAAGGAGCACCCTGCCGCCCTCATCTTTTGACTGGCGAGGGTTCCTTGGCAACCACCCAGCCTGCTACCAGATCGGAGTTCACATGATTCTGCCTCAGCTCAGAGGATGGGCAGCCTCCAGCTGGGATTCTCTAGACGGAGCCGAGAGGAACGGTCTGTAGAAAATCGCCAGACAGGGAGCGCTGGTCCTGGCTGCAGGGTCGCTGTGTGGGGTGGGTGTCTGCCAGCCAGGACGAGGTGGGTCTAGTCTCCTCCCCCGCCCTCCCCCGCCCACCCCGACCTCTGCGGAGCCGCGAAGGAGGAAGCCCAGCTGTTTGATATTTGAGGGCAGAGCTGGTTGGCTGGGCAATGTCAGAGAGGACTCAGATTCCCCCTGGGCTGCCGCCCCTCATCTGGGCTGCAGAGACCCCCTCCTTCCTGGGTCTGGGAGGCTGAGTGGCAGCGGGGGCAGTCCAGCTGTTTCCCAACTGGGGATCCTGACCCAGGATTAGCATGTCTGGAAATCAATGTAGATGTTCATAACCTGTGTTTAGAAAAACAAAAAAGAATGGAAATGGTCCGAGAGCGTCCTAAATAGTCTGGTAAGTATTGTTTGGGGGAAGTTTATTTCTCCGAAAGCATGCACGTGTGTGTATAATGTCTGTGTGTCAAGTGTATTTCTTGCTGTGGCTTTTGGTCAAAAGAGCTTAAAGGAAGGGAGTTTGTGCCTGGACACCTGGGTTCTGGATTCAGATCCAGCCAACTAACTGTGTGGACTTGAGTGAAGGACTGGCCTCTCCAGGCTTCAGGTTCTGTGCAGTGTGGGTCAGCAGTGCCAGCTCACCTCACTCACAGCAACTTTGTGAGCTCAGAAGGGATTGAACTTGGAAACGATTACAAGGGCCTTAGAAATGAGATTCTGTCTCCTTGTTGCTGTAGTGAGGAGGGTATTTGGGGGAGAGACTAGGACTAAGGAAAAATTTCTACTCCTGTCCCAGAGGGAAGTATCAACGGCCTCTGAAAGGATCAGTTTTAGGAAATGACACATCTTTGCTTAAAACATGTGGAGATCTGACCAGCTGAAGGGAAGGGAAGCCAGGCTGCAGGAAACTTCCCGATCTGTGGCCCCCGCTCCTGTGAGCAGGGCCGCCAGACGCCATGAGTAACCGTCTGTGTGCGTGCCCGAGTGCACCACACAGAAGAGGGGTGATGGATTAGATCACTGTTTATGCACCACCTGAACTCCAGTGTCAGACGCCTCCGCCTTCTGGCTTGGACTGTGCAGAAGGCTCCCAGCTTGAGTCAAAGAGGCACTTCCTTCCTTGCAGGGCATAATTTCTCTTGGTCGTTAAAGTCATCAGAGAGCTCTTTGCTGATGAGCATTTGTCTAAAGAGTTACATTTAGTGTCGGACTGCTCTGCATGTAGTTTCTCAGTTTATTAGGTAGATGATAGTGTTTGAGATGTAGCGGCTCCTCATTTTGCTTCTTTGCCCCCAGTCCCCGCCACCTTGGGGAACCGCAGCCTGGGAGCTTGCTGGGTTTTCCTCAGTGGGTGTCAGAGAAATGGTTGGCCTGGAAGAGCATCGTCCAGGTGCAGGGGGGCTGGTCCAGGACTGGGACTGGTGGTCCTCATGGTGGTGTCTGTGAGGACTAGAGCCTGGCAGAGCCTGGAGGGTGGTTGCTCCGGGACAATCATAACAAACAGGAAGAGAGCATGGCCGAAGGGAAACCTACAAAGTTCTGCTGGGTCTTAAGAGCCCCTTCCAACCACCTCTGTTCTCCAGCCTGGGAACTCCTATAGGCCACTTAGCAGGGGCGGAATCCCAGACCTTCCAGACCTTTGGTAGCCTTGCTGTTCACAGCATGGTCCGTGGACCAGCCGCACCAGCAGCGCCTGGGAGCTCGTTGCAAACCCTCAAGGCTCACCTCCGATGCCCCGCCCCCCGAGTCAGAAATTCTGGAGTCGGGGCTCAGTAACCTTTTTTAACAAAGCCTCCCGGTGACTCGGATGCACAGTTCGAGAACCACTGCTCTAGAATACCGAAACCCTCTTTTTGCTCCCAGGTGAACGTAGAAGGTGCTTTAATCTAAACGTAGCGTTTCTTCTTTGCCCTTCAGGCTTGAGTATTTCTGACTTTGGCTGCCAGACTTCACGTGCTGTTGCCTAGGAAGAAGGAAGCCACATGCCTTTGCTCCAGCCCATGCCGCACGTACACACGCTCAGTGCCGGTGAACAGCAGGCTTCGGGCAGGGCAACTCACAATGAATTCCTAAGACCTGCCAGGATGTGGTTAGCTACGGCTTCATTTGCCATGTTTCTGGCGCCTAGGGACCTGTGCTTATGAATGAACTTATCTTTCCTGCTGGTTGATTTTATCTGAACTGCAGGGAACCTGAGGTAAATTCAGCAACAGGATGGTCCTGGGCGGTGCCGCTGAGGTCTGTCTGGGGACCTGCTGCTGTTGACTTCCTCATGGGCAGGCCAGGGGAACCACTGGGTGCCATAGGTATGAGCTTGGGTTTCAGGGACAGGGGAGCAGAAAAGAGGAGGGGGAGTGGAGCCAAATTCTGATTCACCAGGTTGTGGACAGAGTTGAGGGGTCACAGGCCTCAGGTGCCCCTTCTCCCCGCCCTCTCTCCATCAAAACATATTAGCAAAGACAAAAAGCCAAAACCACAAAAAGCAAGAAACAAGAACACAGCCTTGTGTACTGTTGGTGGGAATGTAAAATAGCACAGTGCTGTGGAAAACGGAATGGTGGTTCCTCAAAAAATTAAAAATAGAATTACCACATGCTCCAGCAATCCCACTTCTGGGTATGTACCCAAAAGAACTGAAAGCGGAGAGTCACACAGATATTTGTGCCTCATGTTCATAGCAGCATGATTCATGGTAGCCAGAGAGTAGAAATAACCCAAATGTCCATTGACAAATGAATGGAAAAACAAAATGCTGTGTGTACACACAATGGAATATTATTCAGCCTTAAAAAGGAAGGAGATGATTACATGTGACAACATGGATAAACCCTGAGGACATTACGCTGCACAAGATAAGCTAGTCACAAAAAGCAAATACCAAATTACTCCATTTATATGAAGTCCCTAGAACAGTCAAATTCACAGAGATAGAAATTAGATTGGTGGCTGCCAGGGGCTGGGGGAAAGGGAGATGGGAGTTAGTGTTTAATGGGTACAGGGTTTGGGAAGATGGGAAAGATGTGGAGATGGATGGTGGTGATGGCTGCACAGTGCCACTGAACCGTACACTTAAAGATGGTTAATATGGCAAACTGTACATCATATTTTTGTAACCACAATTAAAAACAACAACATGCACCCCCCTCCACCACCATCAGTGAAATTCCAGGCCTGTGTCCTGGAGAGGATGGGGAGGTGAGCCCACCCGGGAGTCCCCGGAACTGGGAGCTTGGGAGTGAGTCTCAGGTGGGGACTCAGTCTCAGATGTGGCAGGGAAGTGGCGCATGGATCAAGGGACCTGGACTCTAATGCCGATGCTTCCTTCTTCAGGCTGGCTTTGGGAAGCCAGAAGAGGGTTCACTTCCCCTTTTGAGCTTCAGTTTTCTTCCCTGTAAAGTAGGGGTGCCACTGACTTATACATTCCAGAAATATTCATAGATGCCTGTGATTTGCCAGGCACTGTTCAAGGCGGACAAAGCCTCCGCCCTCTTGGAATTTACTCTCTCATGGAGAAGGCAGGTCACCAACAAGCAGACAAGTAAATAAACAGGAAAAATGTCAGATACTGATGGGGCCTCTGTGGCATAAGCAAATAGGAGAATGTCATGGTGACTAGGGAGGGGGTGGCTTTAAGTGGTGTGGGCTGGGAAGGCCTCACAGGAGGGGCCGTTTAAGCTCAGACGTAGCAGAACAGGAGCGAGCCCCCGGGAGGAGGTCAGGGGGCAGCCCTCCAGAAGAGGCAGCAGCAAGGCCTTAGGCAGGACCAAGGCCAGGTGACAATGCACAGATGGTTGGCCCGCGGAACAGCAGTGTGGTGGCAGTGGGCAAGGCCAGGGAGCTGGGGCAGGTCCCACTGGGCCTCGTAAGTCCCAGAAGTTTGCCCGGAAGTTTGGGTTTTACTGTAGGTATGTTAAGAAATTATCTCAACAGGTCTTAAGCAAGGAAAAGGAGGATCTGGTTTGTGGTTTAGCTGCGGCTGCCATGTGGATAATGACGAGGGGCATTAGGGGAGCAGTGGGTGGGGGGTACTTGGTTACAGAGAGACCAGGCTTAGCATGGGCTCATGCTCACAAGAGTCCTGGCCTTGCTTGCTGCACTGAGGGACCAGGGAAATAAATAAGGGACAGGAAGCCAGGGAAGGGCGATGTGGAAACAAACCATGTGTCCGTTTCATGGCAGGACCCATTCAGATGTTCTAGTTCAGTTGGAGTTGGTTGGCAAGATCATCTTCTAAATTAAGTGAGGCACGTAGAACCTGTCAGAACCCCTGACACACAGTAGGTGCTACAGGACTGTTAGCTCCTCTTATTCTAAGCTTTTCCTGCCTTTGACCTTTAGGGCCCTACCCACCACCACTGAGGCCCAGCCTTTGATACAGCTTGAATCCCATCCTACAGTCAAAATGGTGGTAGAGAGACTGGCCCATTCCCTGGGCCCATGAGGAGTGAGGCCCCTTCAGCCCAAAGATGGGGAACATCACTGCAGACAACTCCTCACTGAACTGTGCCATCGACCACACCATCCACCAGACGCTGGCCCCGGTGGTCTATGTCACGGTGCTGGTGGTGGGCTTCCCAGCCAACTGCCTGTCCCTCTACTTCGGCTACCTGCAGATCAAGGCCCGGAACGAGCTGGGCGTGTACCTGTGCAACCTGACGGTGGCCGACCTCTTCTATATCTGCTCGCTCCCCTTCTGGCTGCAGTACGTGCTGCAGCACGACAACTGGTCCCATGGCGATCTGTCCTGCCAGGTGTGCGGCATCCTCCTCTACGAGAACATCTACATCAGCGTGGGCTTCCTCTGCTGCATCTCCATCGACCGCTACCTGGCCGTGGCCCATCCCTTCCGCTTCCACCAGTTCCGCACCCTGAAGGCGGCCGTGGGCGTCAGCGTGCTCATCTGGGTCAAGGAGCTGCTGGCCAGCGTCTACTTCCTCACGCACAAGGAGGTCATCGAGGACCAGAACCGGCACCGTGTCTGCTTCGAGCACTACCCCCTGCAGCCATGGCAGCGTGGCATCAACTACTATCGCTTCCTGGTGGGCTTCCTCTTCCCCATCTGCCTGCTGCTGGCCTCCTACCAGGGCATCCTGAGGGCCGTGCGCCGGAGCCACGGCACCCAGAAGAGCCGCAAGGACCAGATCCAGCGGCTGGTGCTCAGCACCGTGGTCATCTTCCTGGCCTGCTTCCTGCCCTACCACGTGCTGCTGCTCGTGCGCAGCCTCTGGGAGTCCAGCTGCACGTTCGCCAAGGGCATCTTCAACGCCTACCACTTCTCCCTCCTCCTCACCAGCTTCAACTGCGTGGCGGACCCGGTGCTCTACTGCTTCGTCAGTGAGACCACCCACAGGGACCTGGCCCGCCTCCGCGGGGCCTGCCTGGCCTTCCTCACCTGCTCCAGGACTGGCCGGGCCCGGGAGGCCTACCCGCTGGGCACCCCTGAGGCCTCTGGGAAACACGAGGAGCCTGAGCTGTTAACGAAGCTCCACTCGGCCTCCCAGACCCCTAACTCCTCTGGAGTGGGAGGGTCCCCCACGGGCGGGCTGGCCTAGCAGGGGTTGCCCACGTGTGGGGCACAGTGAGGCCTGAGCATGCTCACTGGCTGCCACCTGCTTTGCAGAGCGCAGGCGCCTGCCTCAGTCTGCTGGAGGGTAACGATGGGCTGGGGCTGTAGCAAGGCCTCCTGGTTCCAGGGAACCCCATCTGGCTTGCTGAACCTGATGGGGCTGCTGAGTGTGGGCATGTGCCCTGTCAGCTCATGGGTGTCATCTGCTGCCAGCTGGGCTGCTGGTGGGAGGAAGACAGGGAACTGTCACCTCCAGGAGATTTTCAAAGAGAAGCTGGGGTTTGGGGGTACAGCATGAGTATAAGGAGAGAGGAGGACTAAGAGATGAGACTGAGTCCTGGTAGCGCACCTGCCAGGACCTTCCAGAGCCATTGTTGTCACAGGTGATACCTGTCTGAATGCACTAGTGTTATCCGAGGAGGTGACACCCAAAACTGTATTGTCACCATTAACACTGGAGCCTCACTCCATGCAGTGGTAGGGGCATGACAGGCAGAGAGACCCCAGCTCCAGCCATGTCACAGTTTAATAGGGAGAGATGATCAGACTCCCCAAGCCCCAGGGCTAATGGAAAACAAATCCCAGAGACCCCAGGGTTCCCTGAAGCTGTGTCTGTGGTCCTTTAAAAAGCCAGTACTGAAGCTCGAGTGTCAGGAAAGAGGCCTAAAGCCACTGTGTCTAACAGAATTCCTTACACACAGATTCCTGATTACTTTTCTGTTTCCATCTGCCCAGAAGCACCAGACCAGAAGCCTGGGACTGTGTGTGTGTGATGTGTATGATCTGAGTGTTCACGGTTAAAATGCCTGGGTCTCCAAGATGCTACCTGCCAAGTCATTGAGACTAGGGCCATGCAACTGCTGGCAGAGGTCCCCCTGCTCCCCAGCCCTGGCCACAACCCCCCCAATCCCTGGTCCCACACAGTGTGGAGTGTCTGGCAGTCTCAGAGAGGAACATGACGTTCTCCCCAAGTTCCTCAGATAGAGCAAAACAAACAAAACAGATGTATTCTCTGACATCTCTCAGCCCAAAAGGTTAAGTTCTACTAGGAACAGGAGAGGAGGTGGCCCTGGAGAATCTTGCCTCCCTTGGTTCTGGCACTGTGTCTCTGCCAGATGTTCCTCCCCTCCCACCTGGAGAGCGAGAGTGGACCTTTGGGCCATGTGTAGCCCAAGGTATTGACCACCATCTGTTCTATCCAGCAAGGCTGGGTACAGGGCTCATCTCTCCTGCCACTTTGTGCCCAACCATGGTGAGCCCCTGCTCTGGTGAACATACCGAGGACCAGAAGAGCTTCTTAATGTTCCAGGGACCTGCCTGCACTTACAGAAATGCTGGCCTTTCAGATTTCCTGGTTGCTGACCAGGAGTCAACTCTGACTTCCCTCAAAGACCTGGGACTTAAGCTCCTCATAGCCAAGGGGCTAGGTGGGCTGAAGCCTAGGGAGGGACTGGGGTGGAGGGAGAAATACAAGCTGGCATCAGTGAACATTTCTGGAATCTGCTAAAGGGAGGGCCAGGAAGAACATCTTCAATTCTCCTCAGCTCACCCCAAGAGGTAGATTTATCCTGAATCTATTAACCCTCCTATTAGGGGTGCCCAGAGGCAGATAGCCCAGTCTATGTGCCCCAGGGAAGTGTCATCTCAGGGCTACACTTGGCTTTGACTGGGTAGCCCCTGCCCCAGCTCCCTATAGAGGGCATCCCATAACCTGGGGAGGTTCTCTTTCCCTTTCTGGAGGAGGAAGTGACCAGGTCTGAAGGTGGCAGAAATGACCACAGCAGAGAAAAGGCCACCCAGCCCCAGCCCAGGATCTTACTGGGGGTGATGGCACTAGCTGAGTCCTCCATGCTCCTCATTCCAAATTCCCCACTATTTTGACCTTAAACACAGCCATTCCCACAGGGATGGCCTGGGATGAGCTGAATGCAGTTCCATTTACTGTCAAGAGTTGTATTTTTGTATTGTCCTCTCTTTTATGCCAAGTATGTATGTGCTGGATTGTGCAATGGATTTATGTAGCCAACCTGAGTCTGCAAATAAAGCAAAGTAACCAGCCATAGCTGGGGTGTGCAGCAGTCATTATTGGGGGGGTGTGCTGTCCTCTAACACCAGAGTGAGTAGGGGTCCTTTGAAACAGCCAGTGAGGTCAGGAAGGTCCAGGGACTGACTTTCTTAGAGAAAACTCCAACAGAGTCATTAGGGGGTTTGCCCTGGACCACCCAGCAGAGGCCAGGAAGGATCAAATCTTCAAGTAAAGTTGGGTCTTCTCTTCCTCCTCTGGAGATTCAGTGTCCTCAGCTCTTTAGCACATGGTAGTAAGTCTACTCTGGGATTTAACTTGGCCTTCCTTTTGAGGACAGAGCCCAGCTTTAGAGAGTATCATTCTCTCTGTCTTTGGACACATGACCCCTTCTATCTGTCGATAGGATCCCCACAAGGCAGGCTTGCTCAGACCATGCCTTCCTGCATCCTGGGGGGAAGACACCAGAGCAGAAGGGCCCGTTGCCATAATCTTGGAGGGCTACATTTGTTGACCAGCTTTTTTTTAGGCTGGAGCATCTTCCTAACAGTGGCGAGCTACATGTTTATTGCTGAGGATTAACATATTAAAACATAAATTTAGTTTTGGTTCACTGAATCCCTCTCTGGGTCAGATTCCTGGGGTCCTTGAGTGTTCTGGAAGAACTAATCCTTCTCCCAAACAGACTTAAGGACATCATTGGAAATTAAGAGTCCTTTCTTTCCTGAGAGAATGCTTGGAGGAAAAGGTCCATCTGGTTTATACTGAAGGTGGTAGAAGCCATTAGATTCCCTTCTTACTGCTTAGCAAGATGAAGGCTCATCTTCCTGTTTACATACACTGGTCTGTGGGTTGGCCAGAAAAGAGAGGGAGGAATTATCAGCACAGAATACATCCCCATCTGCTGCTTTCCCCTGGCTGGAGTAACCAAGACAGCCAGAATCTGGTCCACTGAGTTCAATGCCTGAAAAACCTGCTTCTCAAAACTGGTGATCCTGCAGCCTCCATTCCTGCAATTCGTCGAGCAAGACAGTGATGGTCTTTGAGGGCAATCGCCCTGGCCTTCCAATGGTACCCATGGTCTAGGGAAAGGGTGGAATTTCAGTTCCATTTGCTTTGATTCAACAACTGTCAGAGGACACTGTCAAATCAGACATCAGCTAATGTGCTGCAGGGTTATGGTATCCAGTTCCCTCTCCATGAATTATCGCATGTATATCCTTCCTAAAAGACGGCCCAGTTTCTCTACAAATACCACCAATGACACCAATTCACTACTACCCAAGACAAAGCCATTCCATTGTTGGGCAGAAAAATTCAATTCTTAATGAGCCAAAAACTGGCCTTAGTTCTGGCCTCTGGTCCACATAATCCTTTAGGTACTAGTATTTAAGTAGATATCTCATAGGCTACTTCTCAGTATTAAACCTTCCAGGCTGGTATTAGACAAGGCTGGATTATACTGCAGTTATAAATATACCCCCAAATCACAGAGCCTTAAAACAAGAAAAGTTTATTCCCTGTTCATTCAAAGTCCAATGAAAGGCTGCTTTCTGGCCGGTCTTTTCCCAAGTGATAGCAGTGATTCAAGATCCTTCTATCAAGAAATTCCATCATCTTGAGGTCTTCCCCTTCCATTCACACAGGTAGGCGAAGCAGGACAAAGAGAATCTCACAGGGGGTTTATGACTGAGTCTGGAAGTGGTTGATATTCCAGCTACACTCACATTCCACTGACCAGATTCCAGTCACATGGCCAAACCCAACTGCAAGGGAGTCTGGGAAATGTAGTTTTCCTAGGGCAGGAGCAAGCTAAATTGGTGAGCATCCAGCTGGTCTCTGATAGACACCTCTTTAAGCCACCTTCACGTAACAGCTTTCAGGCTCTCGCTTTCCTGTACCTCATGTGAACAAAACCCACTTCTTCAAATGTGATGCTTGGGACCAAAGTAAAACTAAGTCTGACCTGCACCGAGGAGAAAGGGGCCTAATCTCAGTGTGCTTCTGTTGATGAACTGGCTTTTCTGGCAAGGCCGTCACATCACTGACATATACTGGATTTACGTGATAAGCCACATCTCCTCTATTCTGCCTGGAGCAGTGGTCTTTTGAATCTGAAAGTTAGATTTCATTGTGGAGCCAGAGGAACTCACAAGAAATAGGTGGCAAGTAGCAGAATGCAGTGGGCTGAACTAACGTGGGGCTGGCAGTCAGCAAAGCCCAAGCAATGAGAGGCAGGAAATGACATTAGAGGAATGTTTTGCTCAGCTGAGCAATGGGGTGGTGCTTGGCCAGAGGACAGCAGGGGGCTAAGTGCTCTGAACCTCTTGGCTGGATTGCTTGCCTGAGTCCAACTTTCTGAAGGTTCTGTGGGGCATATGCACCTTGGTGGGCCTGAGGTGTCCAGCCTACCTTGCACATCCACAGAGCATGCCAGGCACTGCCTACCAGGACAGCAACCCCCAGCCCCATCCCCACCACCATTCTTGGAAGTGCCCATGGAGGCTCACATGCCCCATGAATCCACCTGGTGGACACCCCAGCCCATCCCTCACCCTGGGTCACCCCATCATTCTTGTAGGTCACCTCTTGTCCCCCCACCCATAACCAGATTTTCTAGGTCATAGTCAAGCTCACCATGCTACCTTAGATGTGGACACAGGTCCTTCCTAAAAGCGCAGCCAAGACTAGGATGAACTTGAGCCAAAGTTTACTAAAGGCCTGAGCATGAGGCATACTGTGGAACAGAAGAGCATTAAAACAGAATTCTGCAACTCAGAGCTCTGTGGTCCCGGGCCTGGACCTTGCAAAGGGTGTACCCCTGGCCCTTCTTTGTATCTTAGCCCCTGCTGCAGAGGCACAGGCCTTCCTGTCCCCGAAGGGGGGCCTTTGGGTGCCTCACTCCAGAGCTAGGACTCTTACTCTCAGCTTTCTCTGGCTTCCCCTGGGGTTCAGCCTCTTTTCCAAACAACTTACTCATCTCCCCATAAGCTACTCACAGTGAAGATAACCTATTACCTGGCCACACCTCACACTTCATACCAGAACAGAATTCTATTACTATTGCAAAACCGAAGGCCCATTAGTGTCTTCCACCAAAACATGAGTCAGAAGAGTACTGGCAGCTTTACCAGGATGATGTTTTCTCTCTCTGGCCACCAGGCCTTCAAAAATGCCACGGTACACTCGGCCAGAGGCCCCCATTATATGGTGCTCTGCGGTCTCAAATCGGGAACAAGATTTGCTGGCATTGGAGGAGAACCAGCCAGTGAGACTTAGGGCTGAAGCCCGCTCAGGGAGCTGTGGGCAGTCGCAGATGGAGGGGCAGTGAGCTCACGACAACGCACGCACCAGGGCTGACGCCACAAGCCAAGGCACAGACCTGGAGGTGCGGACGCCCTGCAGAAAGACAGAGGGGCCACTTCCGGCCATGGCCTTCCCCACGCGCCTGTGTAGGAACTGGAAGTTAATTCCTGATCTCTTTGGCACCCATTTAGGCTTTACTGTTAAGCGTACAATTTAGAGCTAAGTTTTATAGCATGTGTTTCATGCTTTATAACTAGTGCCCCTTAAAGAATCAAACTAGACATGTTTAAAGAAATAAAACTATGTAGGCCCAATAAACATTTGGGTCTCTAGCTGGGAGGCTGGACAGCCCCATCTGGATGAGCCAGCTGTCACTCGGCAATGAACTAACTTGCACCAGATACCATGCTGGTTCAATACATGAGTGTAATGGGATGTGGTCAGTGACTCCACTTCTGATATTGCTGGGAAATGTGCAGCTGTGAAGAAGATAAGGGCAAGCTGACCGGGCTTTTCTAGGAGGACCCTCTTGCCACCTGAACCTGGGACTGTCCACCGCCAGGCTCCAGAAGTGTGGCCGCCCTCCTGGGCAGGGAGGCCAAAGCGTCCGGCTTCAGGCTGGGGGGTCAGCATATGGGGAGGAGGTGGGGGAAGTATCAAGGCCCAGGTAGGGGCTCAGGGGGTGTGGGGCCAAGGGAAGTGAGGGGCAGAAGGGAGGCAGTGGTGACAAATGGAAGGTCTGAGGGATCCTGTGCCGAAGTAAACCAAATGTTGTTTGAAAAAGAAGTATTGCAAAGGTATAAATATTTTGGTGGTGGTGGTGATGGTGACTAAACCTTTAGTAACATTCCAGAGCTTCGTTAATATGTACTACTCATTTGTACATTTTATCATTTCTTCATTAGCCTGGGGGACCACTCATGGCCCTGGTGACACTTATCCTTGCATCTGCCTGGCAGTGTTTTTCGCTGGTGTCCCCTAAGTGATCGGTCAGAGGACTCTCAGTGCAGACCGAGTGGGGGGCCTGAAGGAGCCACGGCGAGGAGGGCTGAAATCCATGCCTCTGAGCACTTAGGATAAAAGCAAATCTGGGAACCCCAGAGAAATATTTTCCTTGATCCGCATTACAGGCCCAACCCCTCCCAGGAAGTGGGCACACAAAGAGCCCCAGGCCGGAGGAGAGTGTGTTGCTCACCCGGAGCCAGTGTTTATTTGCAAAGCTGTTGTGGACAGAAGCTGGGGCCTTTGGAGCCTCTTCCCCAGATCCAGGCACCTGTGGAACATGCACGGTCACACGCACACCACAGTGACATCCAGCAGCTTCTGGATCATCTGGGCGTGGGTGCCGTGGAAGGGCAGCCCATCAACCTCCATGCCCACGTTGCCCGAGACCCCACTCCTGACTTTGTGCCGTACCAGGATGCCCAACATTTTCTGTTCCTGGAAAAAAATGGAGAAGAGATAGAGGTGGTGGAGAGGGAGTTAAAAAGAAAGCAATACGTACATTTCTAAGTGGAGAGTGCTTGACTTGGTATGGTCTCTTTTCTGAAAATAAAATTTTGGTTAAAAATACTAGTGCCACTGGACGACTCAATGAAAAATAACAGTGCCCTACAGCACACCTTGTGGGCCCCCAAACCCGCTTCCCAGAAGCTCACTTGGAACAATTCGGGATGTTTCTTTTGGCAGCTACCTTCATGGAACTAAATACTATGCTTTTGATGGAAACCTGCATTTTCTTCAAAAACACTAACAATTTACTTCTGCAGGCGCAGCGTGGGCTACTTCCTGCCAACATAGCCCTTGCCCAGCTCTGGACTGTCTGCCAGTGGCCTTTGTGCCAGAAGGCCCCCGTTCCTCCCGAGACCCCACCATCAGCCTCCTGTGGGCCACACCCCAAGGCCCACCCGCAGCTGCGTCTAGATTTTACCATGGGGAGTGGGAACATCTACAGGGAGCAGAGCCATGGAGAAAATGCAGCCCCATCCTGGGCCCAGCAGGCAAGGTAGTTTGGGATCAGACAGCTCTGACCTGGGGCTTCTGGCAGGTGTCTTAGCCTTTCTGTGACTCAGTGTCCCCATCTGTATAAAGGGGAGATTAATGATGATGATGATGATGATGAAGCCTCCTTACAGGGCTGTTGTGAGGATTAAATGACATAATGCTAGTAAAGCACCTTAGCACGGTCCTTGGTACATAGTAGGTGCCCATGAAATGAGGTGAATTCTTACTGGCAGAGCTAGGTCCCCCTGGCCTACAGCCCAGAACTTTCTTCTTCGATTTACTTGCTGGTTTTTTATAAGAGATTTGATTCCCCTCCCCTTCTCTCCCTGCAAAAATAAGGGCCCAAAGAACCACTGTCTAAACCTCTAATGTCCATTCCTGGTTGAATAGCTCAGGTCCCCCTGAGGAAGGTGGGAGGTGAAGACAAAGGAGGGGACAGAAGGAGGGGACGAAGGAATCTAGAGAAGGAAGGTCAGGAAAGCTTTGAGAAGGGCTCTCTCCTTCCTGCTCAGGCATCTGCATCGGCTGCATCATCCATCAGAGTTTTATTAGGCACATGCCATGTGCCAGGTCCTGCCCCAGGGATACAGCAGTGAATGTGACATGGTCCCCGTCCCGGGGTGGGGGGGTTCACAGTCTAGATGAGTGATCAGGAAGGTATAGTCCAACTCAGGGCAGGGGTACCCAATCCCATTTCCTGGAGTGGCTCAGGAAAGACTTTCTGGAGGAGGGGCCACCAGGACCGCAGGCGGCAGGAGAGCAGGAATGAGCGAAGCCCACTGCTATGAGGAGAACTCCCCGAAACTTCTCAAAACAGTGGAGAAAGCCTTGGCAAAAGTCCCCTGGGAACTGTCCCTACTCTCAGCTGGCTCGAGAGCCTGCATTTCCATTCTGCCCTGGGGGCCAAGGCGGCAGAGAGGCCCAAAAGTATTTCCAGGCATGCTCTTTGTCCACCAGCCCCTTCCCAGGGGCTACCCAGCCCAGAATGGCATTTCCCGCCCTTTGTTTGGGCATTATTCTCCATTTCTCTTCTCCATTGGCTCATATCCTTTCTTTATGGTGAATACTTCTGGGACCATGGGGCCATTTCCTCCCAGCACACTGCCTGCCCCCACCATTCGTGTCCTTCTGGGTCCTGGGAGGAACCTGGGGTCCTCAGGGTGCACAGGATCGGTCAACAGATGAGAAACTGGCTGGCACTCAGCCTCTAAGAGCTGCAGGGAATAGCTGGACCAACAGTGACGGCCTGCACATTTCCAGAAATCACCGAGTGACCACACCATCCTCAAGGAGGCCCCACTGGTGAAGGAGGTGGCAGTGGGGGTCGGGGGGGAGAATGGGCCAGGAGGCTGCTGGACACAGAGCACCCGGAGGCGGCTGCACTGGCCCAGGATGAGAGAGTGGGGCAGGAGAGGCGGCTCAGAGGACAGAAGAGGCTGCAGTGGATAGGGCTTGGGGCCCACATTACTGCGGTTGGGGACAGAGGCCCCAGCCTGGGCTCAGAGGCTGAGTATATGGATGGTCACTATTGGTTTACCTTGGGAGCACAGCAGGCTGATATACACGGTTAGGTGAAATTGCTGTTAAAAATGGGCTGGGAGAAAGGGGCCTCCTGGAAGTTGGAACTGTTCTGTACTGTGACCTTGGTGATGAGTGAATGGGTGTACACATACATAACAATTCATCCAGTGTGTTCTTAAAGTTTATGCACTTTACTCTGTGTTTAGTGCATTCGTTTTTCTTAATTTAGGAAAGTTATAAAGAAAAGTAGAATGGGATCAAAATGCTGGAAGAGAATAGGAGTGCAACATGAGGCCAGAGGCCATGTTCCTGCCTCTCTGCACCATCCATCCATCTGCTATCCATTTGTCCATCAGTCTATTCATCCATCTATTTGTCCACCCAACCATCCATCCAGCTAGCCAGCTGTCCCTCCATCCGTCATCCACCATCCATCCATCCAGCCATCCTTAGTCCCTCCTGTAAGGAGTCATCAGTTGGCTCTTGGCTCCTGGGAAATGCTCTCCAGCCATTTACTTTGCTCTCAGGTAGAACCCCACAGCACAGCTGGGGGTAAAATTGTAATATTTCCAAAATATCTCGCCTGGCTTTAGTACATCTGCATATCAATAGGCATTCAGAGGTGGAAAGAAATGTGGCTTTAGTATATTTGCATCATTCCTCAGGGGTGGAGAGAGGTTCATGTCCATATCAGTGGGTAATACCTGGGCAACAGGCGGGCTTATCTGAACCTGAGAGGTTAAGGGGAGGTCCTTGCTTGCTTCTGTGGGAACAGGAGAGAGAAATGGCCCCGGACTGCAGTTTGTAAGCAATAAATGGGTTTTAAACTTTATTTCTCCCTTTGACTGATTTTGGTTTTAGAGGTATTCTGTCCCGGGATTTCCTCTCCCCAGACTTACAACAGCCAAGGGCCAGGGTGGGCAGGGAGTGCTCCGGCTGGTGGTGGCCCTCTTCCCTGGGCTCCTCAGCATGGTACCTACTCCTGCTATAGTCATGATCAGACCCCCAAGGACTGTCCCTGAATTTGGGGGCTCAACTTATAAGCAATTCACAGAGCAGAGGTGAGGAGCATTCCTCTGTCCCTAACCAATCAGGCTACACCACCAGCTCAAGCCCAGCATCCCTCGATGGCTCAGGGACCTCCTTGGAATGGCCTTCAGACCTCTGACGTGATGATCCCATGTATTCCTCTGCATACCGCACTCCGGGTCCTCGCCCCTCTGCCTTTGTGGGTCCTGTTGCCTCAAAGGCCATTCCTACCTTTCCATACCTAGCTGCTTATACCCTACTCACCTGCCAAAACCCAGGTCAGTGCCACCTCCTCCATGCAGCCTTCCTTGAACTCTCTGAATGAGCTGTGTGCCCGTTCTCTGTGTCCACACAGCAGCTGGCTGTACACGTGTGTAACCTAGCTCCTGAAGTCACCTTTCCTGTGCTGTCTCCTGAGCTCCCTGTCCAGCGGCCAGGTCTGATCCCTCACTGTCTCCCAGAGAAAGCCTAGGCCTGGCCCAGAGGATGGGCTCAAAAAACATGCATTTGTACTTTTGCTTTAAAAATGTTCCCTTTTATTTTCTTTCGAAGGGTGATACATTATTAATATATTTATGAAGGACTGTCATAAATGGTGGAAATGTCAAAGGAGAATCTTCCATCCCCAGAGGGTAAGTGTTTGGAAGGCTGTGTGCATTTGTTTGGCTGGGTTGGTTCTTTTGTGTCTGTGTGAATCAGGAGTCACGTGAGGCAGCCCCCTGCGTGCTTGTTTCCAGTTCATATCCAGGAAGTGCGAAGAAACACAGAAGGCCCTCTGGGCCCCTCCAGGGCAGGCCATTTCCCCTGAAAATGTCACTCCAGCAGCCCCTTCCATCCCCTGCCCCCCCCACAGAGCACTGGCATTACCAGGAACTGGGAAACTTCTGGGCCAGGAGAGAGCCCAGAGTATGGAGCCAGAGAGGCCTGGGCAGATCCCAGTTCTCAGGTGGGTGGTGCGGGGCAAGTCATCCCACCTCTGGAGCCTCAACAATCTCATCCGTAAAGTGGGGTAACACCACTCATCCAGGGTGGTGCTGGAGAGAAACAGGGTGCGGGCAGGATAGAGAGGCAGAGGGAGAGACAGGCAGAAGGAAAGGGAGCAGAAGGGGTACAAGACTATTTAAGAGGAATGGCAAGAAACTGTGACGGACTGTGGATGCAGATGCTTTTCAGAAGTGGGGGCTCCTGGGGCTCATTTGTCTGCAAGCTGGGGGCTTGTAACAACAACCCACTCCATCTCAGCTGCTGTGCCCAGGCTCAATGCTCAGGAAGCTTCCTGCCTGTTAGATGGCCTTCCCATCACTGCAGACCAGCCCTCTCCCAGGACAGCTCTCTCCTGGCAGGTGGGCCCCGCAGCTCTGCAAAGAGCAAGCCCTTCCTTACAGTGAACCAGAGACTCTCTGTACCCCCTGCCTTTTGGCCTGACTTTGTCTCTCAGGTTGTCCCTCTCCCCAAGGAAGCCCCCCGGCCTGTGTGAGGCCTCAGGACCTCCACCCCAGTCTTCTCTCCTCCAGGCCAAACACCCCAGCTGCCTCCACTGTTTCCCCAGGTCTTTCCAGCTTTCCTGCTCTCCTGCCTGCCCTCAGGTGAAGGCCTGTGGAGCTCAGGTGAAGCTGTGGCTCACAGGTGAAGTCACTTCTGACCTGGGGTTTAGATGTAACATAAGAGATTTGGCCTCAATTTCCCATGATCCAAATCACTTTGAAAAATCCCCCAGAGGGTGCCCCTTTGGAGACTGCGGCACCATCAGCTTGTCTCCTACGGGGGTGGCCCAGCTTTGCCAGGATCTGGCTGAGAGGGGGCTCGGGTCTGGGATGGGGTCAGCAGGGCGGCCTGCTCCCTGAGAGCGCTGGCAACCATGCCTGTGGAGGGTGTGGATCTGCCACTGCCTTGCTAGCATTTCCCAGCCCCTCTCTTTTGCCTGTGCCTGCACATATATGTGAGTTCACATGGGTTAGACACGCACATGTGCAGGCATGATGCCCTTCCTCTGCCCTGCTCTGCTGGGGGATGCCCGGAAGCACCCAGCTCGCCAGGTCGCTGGCTCTCAGAGGAGCTTGCACAGAGGCACCCCAGGGCTCTGAGTCCCATGCTCAAAGCCCTGGTGCGGCTCCCTGTGCCTTCTCAGGTGAAACCCTCGGGGAGGGACCCCTGGTTTGCTCGGGGGTTCTTAATGGCCCCAGACCACACAGAGAATCTGACGGAAACACAGATCCTTGCCCAGAAAACTCAATGTATGCAACAATTTTGCAAGCAGTTTCAAAGGACTCTCAGACCTGACTTTGTGAATCCTGGGGTCAGAGCCCTCCTCTAGGCCTATCACCCCCCCCACCCCAACAGCAGACTCCCCAAACCAGCACCAAGCTTGTCCTCATCTGCCAGCTTCCGTTCCCTCCATTCCCCTTGCCTAGAATGCCTCCCCTTCTACTGCATTTATCCGCCAGCCTCCAGCTCACAGGATCCTCTGCCCATCTTGGTCCCCCACGCCGCAGCACCCTGTGGGATGGCTGACTGTCCTGCCCAAGGTTGCAGCACCTTCACTGGTTGAGGGGATGATAAGGACCCTCACAGCTACCAACACGGAGTGCCCGCCACAGGTCAGGTACTTGCTCTTCCAGCAATGCTGCTGATGGCCCCTGTTTTACAGACAAAGAGAACGCGGCTTGGAGGGGCTAAGCAGCCTGCCTGAAGTCAGACTAGAAGGAAAATGGTTACTTATCTCAGGTCTTCCACAATAACTTAGGATTGCTCATAGGTCAAAGGTCATTCAATCCAATCTAGCAACCGACTGCCAGGAGATCTTTGCTTCTAGGTGTTGGGGGGGGAAAATTTCCTCTCCCCTTCAAGGTTCTTTTGGCTGGTCTAAGAATTAAATTGACATGAGACAGTTTAACAGGAGAAAATAAAATCTAGGTAAGTAAGTACAGGGGCTCTCTAAGAATATGAGACCTTCAGGCAGTCAGGCAACTGGGGTTTATATGCCATCCAGAGCGAAGCAGAAAGAGGTAGAGGCCTGGGATTTCAAAAGGAAGGAAGATCATTTACAGTAAGAGGAAAAGGAGTAAATGTTTGGTAAACAAATGTTTACTAGGCTATATAGAAGCAACGGGACACAGAGAGGAACTTTTAACAGACTTTGCTAGGTTCCTGCCTCCCTACCACACCTGGTTTATACACACAGTAGCCAGTAGTTATCTGTGGTGATAGCTCCCTTCCTGGAATACATCCTCTATCTGAATTCTTTTAGGCAGTTAAAGGGGGAAGGCAAAAAGAAAACTTCTGAAGTCTTCTGTTTCTTAAAAATAGCCTAAAATAATCCACATGCAAAAGTGACACCTTTTGGGGTGGCCAATTTTGCCTCCCTGCATATAGGCAGGGTCTGCATCCGGCCACTGACAGGCAGCAGTGGGGCTGGGCCTTGGCTTTTGGACTGGAACACCAGGTCTACTCCTCATCCTGGGAAAAGCTGTTTCTGTGGAAGTGGCCCACTGGGTGTGTTACCTTAGCGACAGATGGGAGGGCTTGAGCCCAGTTCTGTTCCCCGAGTGCTCTGGAGGGCCCAGTTGTCTTCCTCAGGTAATGTCCATGGACCTCACATGAGTTCAGGATGTATAGTGTACAGGCCAAGGCATAGCCTCCCCAGTTAGAAACACCTAGAAAAAAATAGGATTCTGTCAGAAAACGGGAAAGGTCAGGGGGTCCATCACCCTGCCTCTAAGCAGCAGAAATCACCTCAAAGGATGGCCCCAAGACCACTGGCACTAGCAGTACGTGGGAACTTGTCAGAAACACAGATTCTTGGGCCCCAGCCCAGATCGACTTAACTGGAAGCACAGCAGGGGAGTGGGGAAGCAAAATGAGTTTTAATAAGCCTTCCGTGATTCTGATTCAAGTCTAAAGTTTGAGAACCATTGATCTAGATCATCTGGAGTATGTACTGTTAACGGCTGTCAGCGGAAAACATTCAGGCTGTAACCCTCGGAAGCCATTCCAAGACTCTGGACAGTACGAAAGTCCCCCTTACAGCTCACCAGACTCCCTCACTCCGCGTGGAAGCCGACGGCAGAGGGGCTCGGCAAGAACTCCACGGTCGTGCGCTTGACGATCCCTCCTGAGTCAGCCTCATACCACCTGCCTTTTCTATCAGCAGCCCCAGAGGCCTACTGCCCAGCTTAGGGACTCTCATCGGCGCTTCCCTGAAACCTGCTTGAGTTCTTCATTCAGTTGAAGGATTAATTAGGGACCTGCTAACCTCTAGGCGCTAAAGCTAAAAAAAGAGGAGCTCTGGGCCAGGGAGAGAGGGACTGTACACACAGCCAAACACAGAGTGGGGTGATCTGTGGATGAGATGTTCACAGCAGATCATGGGAGTACTCATTCTGACTGGTTTAGGAAAGATTCACAGAAAAGGGGTCATTTCAGATGGGCCTTGTAGAATTTGCCAGAAGAAGAGTGGAGGAGTGGGGGTACTTCAGGTAGGAAAAAACCAAACACCCAGTGAGTACGTGAAAATACAAGGCTTATATCAAGGTATGGTGGGCAAAGACCATTGTGATAATACTGCATTTCACCGATTCTAAGACATATATTTTTTTTACATTTGCCCCTCTGAAACTGAGGTGCCTCTTATAATCAGTAGAATTGTACAGTTGTAATAAGGCAGCATTTTCCTTTCTTAGTGGTACATAAAATATTAGTAATTCTTGTCATCAGTGGCATCTTATAGACAATGGAGTAACTTGTTTTGATTGAATACTTACAATGTGTGGCACTATTCTAATGCCTTACATGGATTAGCTCCTGGAGTCCTTACAACAAGCCTGTGAAGTATTAGGTGTGATTATCTTCACTTGCAAAACTGGGAAATAGACACAGAGGCATTAAGTAATCTGCCTGAGGTCACACAGCTAGTAAGTGGTGGACCTGAGATGTGACCTCAGGCTGTTGCCTACCAGAACCCACACTGTGGGGAAAATGGAAGTTCTTACGGCCAGGATCCTCACCTGACCCTAAACTACTGGATGTAACTGGCCTCCTATTAGGCTAGTGCTTCCACACCCATAGGGACTAAGCTATTAACTGAGTCACTATGTAAAGAGCTCTGCCGAGTGATCTGGGTGGAGGCAGAGACAGAGGTGGATGACAGACCTGCAGACTGCTGGATGCAGATGTGATTCTGGTGCTCAACCTACCGCCACGAGAATAAAGCCAGGTATAAACCTTTTTACTCCAAGAACATTCCATTGTCATTTCTCTGTCTCACTGAGTCCATAGTGAACTTTCCTGGGGCTGAAACCCTCAGGCAGGACACACACTCTTTAAAAAAGCAACTTAGAAATGTTTGTGGTTAAAAACCCACATAACATAGAATTTACCGTGCTAGCCATTTTTAGGTGTATACTTCAGCAGTGGTAAGCATATCCGCATTGTGGTGCAACACTAGCACCTAAACTCAACCTCTATGCAGATACAGAAAATAAAAGCATATTTGGGAAGGAATATCAAAGGGAAAGAGAAGTATTTAAAATGCAGGTTTACCAGGTGAAATTACATAAAGTGGGTACTACTGAGTGTGAGCATTAGAAGCTGGTATGTGAAATTAAAAATGCTGATCACGGTATGGTATTATGGTGAGGATGGTATTTTTGCCCTCTTTCATCACCTGCCACCACCTGCCTTTTGAGAATATCTACAGTATTGTTGTTACATCATCTTTTCAATTAAAAAACTGAAACCCATGCTGTATTTGAGCCATGACGGTGGCCATGCATGGCTGGATCATAGTGAGGATTGGAGAGATGAGGCTAAGCGAGGTCCCAAGATCAGGAAAAGGAACTGGACTTGAGCCCTAATGCAGGGGTTCTGCTCTGGGAGGCCCCGTGAGATGTGAGTCCCACCGCAAACTTTGATTTCTGCGCTGACTTGGGATGCACGTGCCAAACAGGACAGGAGAGCATGCCTTCAGGGCCAGGGCACCGCTGGCTCATGGACCTTGTGGTGGGTTCTTTTCTCTTCTTTTCTTTCATGCCTGACTAGCTGGGCCTGACGAGTTGCTGAGCATCCTGGGGCTGCCACTATCCCTGGTGTCAAGAGCCAGGGATGGAGTCAGGCAGGGCTTCCGTGCCTCCTAATCCACTCTCCTGAGAGGCTCCTTGCCTGCCTCTTGCTCCCTCTTGACACCCAGATGGAATCACAGCAGCCAATCAGGACCAGTCAGGATGACGTGACAGAGGTTTTCTCTAATCCTCAGAGAAACCCAGTTTATGGATAAGGACTGCCAGGCTTGCGAAGTACGAGCTTCCATCTCCTGGCTGATGCCAGAGCCCTGATCTTACTTGTCCCCACTGAGCGGAAGGGCTCGGTGTTCAGGTCCTGGCAGCTCCCAGCGCTAACTGGAGGGGCTCGTTTTCATCTCATTCAGCTTCAATCCTACAGATTTTCATCAGAAGCTCTCATTCCAAACAACCCCCCCTCCCTTCTGCCAGCTGGGATTGCCTCCTCTCTTTGGGGACCTCTGCCTGCTCTTAAAATCATGTCCTCAGTGATGTCATTGGCCGGGCTGTTGGGGTTTGATCATTTACATGGAGAATCTACATTCTGGGCGACAAGTAAACTTGAGGAAATCTGAGGACTTCCAAAGAGTTTCTCCAGTGGCTCCCTTCCCACTCACCCCAGGACAAAGGGCCGGCAGACAGCAGCTCTGCCAACAGCAAGCACTGAGGTGCAGTTCCTTCTCTTCTGTGTGTCGCAGCTGTGGAGCTAATCCAGGGTGGGGATCAGACACACAGGATGCTGAACGTCTTGCCCTATGCTTACTGGCCATCTGTATTATCTTCTTTGATGACGTGTCTATTCAGGTCTTTTGTCCATTTTTAAATTGGGCTGTTCTTTTTCTTATTGTTGAGTTTTAAGGGTTCTTTATGTATTTTGGAAAGCAGTTCTTTATCAAATATGCCTTTTGCAAATGTTTTCTTCCATTCGCCAATGCATTCTCTTTACACAATATTTCTCAGAGCAAAGGTTCTTAATTTTAAGAAGTCCAAGTTACCAATTCTTAGTTTCATGGATTACACCTTTGGTGGTGTATCTAAAAAGGTACCACCATACCAAAGATCTAGGTTTTCTCCTATGCTGTCTTCTAAGAGTTTTATAGTTTTGCATTTGACATTTAGGTCTGTGATCCTTTTTGAGTTAATTTTTGTGAAGGGTGTGAGGTCTGTGTCTAGATTCATTTTTGGGGTTTTTTTTTGGATGTGGATGTTGTTGGGAGCATATACATTAAGAATTTTTACATCTTATTGGAGTATTAGCCCCTTTATCATTACGTGATGCCCCCTTTAGTCCTCCTGATAACTTCCCTTGTTATCCAGGAGAACCTGCCGTCAGGGCCACGTTCTGAAGTCTACTGTGTCTGAAATTAATATAGCTACTCCTGCTGTCTTCTGATTAGTGTTAACATGGTATATCTTTCTCCACCCCTTTACTGTTAATTTCTATGTGGTTTTATATTTAAAATAGGTTTCTTGTAGACAACTATAGTTGGGTCTGGCTTTTTTGACTTACTCTGACAATCTGTCTTTTAATCAGGGTATTTAAGCCATTGACATTGAAGGTGATTGATACGGTTGGATTAATACCTACCATATTTGTTATTATTTTCTATTTCTTGCCCTGTGCTTTTTTCCCATTTTTGTTTTCCATGCTTTTTCTGCCTCTGATGGTTTTAACTGGGCATTTTATATGATTCTATTTTCTCTCACTTCTTAGCATATCAATAATACATTTTTTTAAACTTTTATAAGTGGTTGCCCTAGAGTTTGCGATATACATTGACAAGAACATATAATTGAGTACATTTTTGCAATTATTACTTTGAACAAATTGTTACCTGTTAGATCAGTTAAGACTAAGAAAATCAAAAGGTTTTACTTTACCTTCGTTTATTTATTCTCCAGTGCTTTTCCTTTCTTTGTGTAATTTCTGACCTAAATAAGTTTCCTTCTCTCTGAAGAATTTCTTTCAAGGCAGGTCTACTGGCAACAAATTCCCTTAATTTTTGCTTATCTGAGAAATTCTTGATTTCTTCTTCATTTTTGAAGGATAATTTTGCAGGGTACAGAATTCTAGGTTAGTGGTTTTTCTGTATTAACACTTCAAATAGTTCACTTTACTGTCGTCTTGCTTGTGTGGTTTCAGAGGAGAAGTTGAATGTAATTCTCATCTATTAGTAAGGTGTTTTTAAGCTCTGGCTTCTTTCCAGATTTTTTTCTTTATTTTGATATTTTGAAGTTTGAATATGGTATGTCTGGGTGTGGTTTTTTGGCATTTATCCTGCTCAGGATTCTTTAAGCTTCCTGCATCTATGGTTTAGTGTCTGACATTAATCTGGGAGAAAATCTCAGTCATTATTGCTTCAAATATTGCTTCTATTCCTTTCTCTCTTCTCCCTCCGGTGTTCCTATTACATATATGTTACACCTTTGTTATTGCACTGCAATTTTTGGATATTTTGTTCTATTTCTTTTAGTATTTTTTCTGTTGGATTTTTAACTTCGGAAGTTTCTAGAATCATATATTCAAGGTCAGAGATTCTTTGCTTGTCTCTAGTCTACTAATGAACCCAACCAAAGGCATTCTTCATTTCTATTACAGTGTTTTTGATCTCTAACATTTTTTTATTCTTTCTTAGAATTTCCATTTCTCTGCTTATTGCCCATCTACTGTTGGGTATTTCTCTTTTCCCAGGTAGGTTCTGATAAAATAGTTTCTGATAAAACCCCTGCAGGCAGGTTAGGTTCTGGAAAAATAGTTTCTCCTAAAGGCAGGCCTTGTTAAGGAGAATAGAATGCTCTGGTATATTTCAAAATGGTTCCTCTCCCCTCTACCTACCTAAAGCATAAAGGGATTTTTCTCTGATATCCACTGTGTGAACTTGATAGAACTGCTAGAGGTAAAATGCACAAAAGCATGGGGTTTCCTATGACTGAGTCCCCCTAGAGTTTTTAACTCTTGACTTGTCCACACTGAGCCTTTAGCAATGCACCAGTTACAGTTCAGGTTTTCCTACCTGGCACTGGTTCCCACAGGGGTTTCTGCTCATCTCCAGGCTATTGGTGATGAAATGGGAGATTGCTTTTCTCAGGTATCTGTTAACATTCCTGAAACTTGTGGCGCAGTCAAGGGAGGAAGGGTGGGGCCTGGAAGAACCTGGACACAAGAAAGGCCAACCTGTCGAGGAGGCGGCTGCAGGGAGGGGTGGGGCAGCCTGGGGCAGCAGTAAGGGAGAGGGGAGGTGGGAAGCCTCCTAATAGGCCTTCCCTGACCACTGATCTAAATGCCTGCCCGTCATCTACCTGTAGCTCAGATCACTATTTAGCATGGTCTGGTGTATTTATTTGTTTGGGCTTGTTTTCTCCCAACACGAAAAGAGGAGTTCTGTGGAGCAGGCCCCTTGCTACCCTAACTCCAGTACCCAGAACAATGCCTGCCCCACAGCAAATGTCTGTTGAATGACTGAATGAGAGGCGAGAGGCTGAGAACCAGGTCCCCGTATTGCCCCGGTCCCCTCTAGACTATTCGAGGAGGAGAGGAACTTCTGGCTCCAAGCCAGGTCCCTCCTTCTCCTCGGCCCAAGCACTCACCAGCAATGACAGCAAAATCCGCCTCCACTTCACAGGCGATGACATCCCCATTTCGTATGTGACTCTTCACAGCCTCCTTGACTTTTCCCATCCCAAGTTCATTGCCTCCATCACCGACCCCTGGAGGGAAGGGGAACCAAGACTGGGCACAACGAGGGACGGCTGCGGGGCAGGGCAGTCCCCCATATGTGCCTTCTCTCCTCAGGGATGGGAAAAGGGTTGCTCTGAGCAGATTTTCAGACAACTAGGATATATTGTATTTCTCCTTCAGGTCTCCTAGAAACTTCTCTAGTTAAAAACGAGTTAGGTCAAGAACTCACCAGAGTGTGGCCGGGACCCTACTGGGGCACGTTCTTTAGTCACAGACAGAGCAGGCTCTGTGCTGATGGTGCGAGGCCACAAGAGATGTGGGTCTAGAGACACTCAGCACTTCCTCTCCTGTTAAGTGACTCCTGCTCAGCAAGGGACCATAAGGCCCTGAGCCCCATTAGTGTGACCAGACTCATTCCATTGCAGAAGGGAACTGGTATAGATTGTTAAAGTCAAATCTGTAGTTTTCTTTAAAGGCTTCTGTCTAAGGAATGTGAAATGTATGTGTGCCAGTTAATTTTAACCAATACCAGAGGCGTGCGTGGTTAATATCGGAGTAGCCTAATCAGGAATAGACACCCCAGAAGTATTTGATTAGCATTTGGAGACTACAGTCTAAAGGCCAAGCTGATAATAGGCATCAGAGGGTTTGTTAATTAGCGTAATAAATGCTAGAATAAATATATGTTAAAAATTAACTAATTCAGTGGTGAAATGAATGATGTTCAGGATAGCTGGCTAAAAATAATTAACAGACACTTCCACCCTTGTAGGAACAAGATGAAAAAAATAACAAGCCTTATAACCTGTACCCTTTGAGGTGGTGCTCTAGGAACACCCTTTGGCCCTGTGTCCAGGCACTTCTGGGGAATTCTGTAGACTAGAAGTCAGCTGGATCTGCCTCTAGAAGTTGGTTGCTGTGACCTCAAGGTAACTAGGGCCTCAAGGACAGAGGACCAGGCTTCCCACGCCTACAGGACAGTAGTACAACTGTTTTCGTGTCTGTTTCTACAAAGGCATAGAACATGGGGCAGGATTCCATCAGAGGTGAGCATTCATTGTGAGATGGGGAGAGAGGAACCTGAGCTGACCCACCTCGAGCATTTAGACTCTCACCTAAAGAATCAGGCAATCCCTTGTACTGTTCACCATGTAACTTATTCACTATGTAAGAATTTGTTCTCCATGTAAGAACTTGTTCGTTATGCTTCAGAAGATTGGAGACTGACGAAAATTAGGCTTGGGGTGGATTAATGATTATACATTGAGCATTGAGTCCCCTATACAGAATTTTATTGTTGTTAACAACCATTTGAACAATAAATAGGAGAGATGTCCTCACAAAAAAAAAAAAAAAAAGTACACACTTCCAATTGTAAAATAAATAAGTAACCGGGATGTAATGTATAGCATAAGGAATATAGTCAAAATATTGTAACAACTCGGTATGGTGATAGCTGGTACCTAGAATTATCATGTATATAAATGTTCAATCACAGTGTTGTCCACCTGAAACTAATGTAATACTGTGTGTCAACTACCCTTCAATAAAAAATAATTATTTAAAAAAAAAAAAAGGAAAAGAATCAGGCAATCGTGAATGACTAAATGCCTTAGATCCACACCCTGAGGATTTTTCTCAGAACAGTTTTCTAGATCCATGACAGCCCATTGAAGGAACAGAAATGAACAACTCCTTGCATATCAAATGGTATTGTTAACAAAGAAACAAGCCTAAATGGAGTCGTTTGCTCCCTTCAAGCTGACTTAATTACAATTTTAACCCATTCTAGGAATGTGACGTTTTAACAGTCAATCAGGAATTTTCTGCACAGCACGAATAAGGTAATCTGTCCTGTGGGCCCTTTCCATCCCCTCCTGCCAGAAGAAGATGAAGAAATCTGCATGGTAAAGCACCCACGGTTTCCCCTCTAAGGGGAGGTAACCTTGCTTGAATCTCCTTTTTAACTTTTGCTAATAACTATTTGCTCCACCTCCTTCCTATGAAAACCTTCCATTTTGTACGACTCCTCAGAGCATCTCTCTACTTGCTAGATGGGATGCTGTCTGATACCTGAATCACTTAATAAAGCCAATTAGATTTCAAATTTACTCAGTTGAATTTTTTTCCCCACAATATTTTGTCTATTTTGTCTCTGCTCTTTAGCACTTCATGAGTTTCACTGTGTTCCCTCCTCTGGTCAGTCCTGTCTGTGGCCTTGCTTTCTTCCCTTGACGGAACTTGCAGAGTCTCTGAGAGGGGGGCAGTACCTGCATGGCAGGTGGGAGGGGGGGTGTCTTAATTCTCAATTGAATGCAGTATCCATGACAAGGCAGCTGCCCATGGAAACTGAGGAGTAAGGGAGTTGCTGGAGCACAGGGGAGAAAGGAATATTCAGGGGGCATCCCTGATGGGGCTGAGGGAGCCTAGAGGGGCTTGGCTTCCTGAGACCAAGAGAAGGGTCCAGGGGTCCGCAGAGAGGGCAGTTTGAAGGCACAAACAGAGGGCTCCAGTTACTTCCTTTGGGATCTTGGGGTCACCACTGGGGGGATCAGCACAGATCAGGGGTCCACCTGTTGCCAGGCAGCTGCATCTGGGGAGGTCTTTCCCTGCATACCAGGCAAAACCTCAACCTGGAGGGGGGAGAGTTCTTGACTCTGAAAGAGAAAGAATTATCAAGTAGGTCAGACAAGGAAGGAATTCATTAAAGTGAGAGCAGGAGGGAATGGCAGCAGCTGTACAGGGAGCAGGGAACAAGGGAGAATAGAGGGAGGAGAGGGAAGCTCATTGAACTCCTGCTCAGCATAGGGCAGGTCCCTGGCCAACTCCTAAAGCCAGGGTCACCTGGCATCCAGTGTCCACTTGAATCTGCATGGCATGGGGACTAA